GTTTTAGACAGACAGACAGTGCTAAACTAACCTTTACATTTGAATTTCTAATATTTATCCCCAAATTTTAGCCAAGGGAATTAAATCCCAAACTGTCAATGCATTTTTGTTATGCCAGATATCTTGATTACAGTGTAAACAGCCTTATGTATTTTAAAATTAGATTTTAAAATACCAGATTTTTAAATTTTCAAGTTAAAGAATCCTTAAAAAGCCTTTTAAAACAATGTGAAGATTCTTTAAATTTTTTGGTAATGTCCAAACCTCATAACCTTTTGAATTTTAAACTTAAACTCACCCAATTGTTACAGCATGCTGACAATTCTTATCTTGAACATGTTTACATGTACACAAAACATACACACAGATCTTAAAGCGTGTAAAAATTAAAATCAGTTGTGCATATATTTTCTAAAGTTTTTAAACAAAAAATTTAAGACAATATTTCTTTTAAACGAAGTACCTTTGTTGAGCTTCATTTTCCCAAGGCTTGCTTGTTTAGCAAGGCATTTTACCAATCAGTCTTTTGAATCCCTTCTGTTGGAGGAAGGCTGGGCGTGGGAGTGGGGGTCACCTGAAACTAAACTGGCCTGATTTTTACCCAATTTTGACAAGAGCACTTTACAAATTGTTAAGCTGTCTGGAGCAGCTGAAAGTCCAGACCAGGCTCACTGCTATCTACACCCTCGCCTCTCCTCCAGCAGCCTCCACTGGGAGAAGGTGCAGCCTGAGGCTTGTCCATGCCCCGCCTCTTGGCTGCTGTAACACAAGGCGGGGACTTAGCAGGTCTGTGACCAAGCCCAGCGGGAGGCTGGGACTTTTATTCCCCCAGAAATGTTCAAATAGATAACAAAAACACAGATAAACACAAAAACCAATGATTCACATTTAAAACTTGTACCAATTCTAAAACAGAACTAGACAAGACAACAACCAAAGGCTGAGTTGGGGACTAATGGGCCCCCAGAACTCTGTGCCGTTTTCAAGCTGAATCCAGAGTTTGCTGAGTAAGCCTGCCGCTCTCACCCAGGCCTTCCCTACCTCAGAAAACATAGAACAGAAAATACACTGAAGTAAACAAGACAGACAAGTGGCCACAAAGACAAAATTAGGTCTCAGTGAATGGGGCGACATCTCACCATCAGTCACTTACCAGGGGACTCGAATCCCCTCTACTCACCTCCAGAGGATTTTTCTTTTAGATTCCTGCAAACGTTGACCCAGGGGCCTTCCAAGGCAGAGGAGAATTCCCGGTCATCTTGGGGCAAGGGAAAGAAGTCCTTGGTGGCTGTCCCCTCAGACTGACAGGTCCTCCTCCATGCTCAGACCCCCTGGACCAAGGCCCGAGGCTAAGATCTTGCAGGTGGTCAGTGGCAGTTTCATTAAAAAAAAAAAGGAGCTAGAGAGAAACAGGTATTAAGGGGGTGTCGGCCAGTCTCCTCCGAACCCTCGCATCAAGATGAATCTGGGAGGAGAAACATTCTAAGAATTCCAAAAGACACACACACACAACACTGAACACTGAGACAAGACACATTCACAGCGTGCACATTGTAGATTGTCAGTCAGGAAGTGCCAGACTACAGACGGGCCCAAATGTCTGCACTAGTGGACAGTCTACCCCGTAAGCTATCAGTCAGAAAGTGCCGGACTCCAACGTCTGCACTAGTGGATAGTTTACCCCGAGAGGGCCCGGGGAACGTCTCCCACCGTCCCTGTTGGCTATAGCGCATCTGCCAAGACCTCTTGCCAACCTCAATAGAGAACCTGTAGGCAACTCAGATACCAGATAATTACAGAGCGGCAATGCCTCAACTTACCGGCCGGGTTTCTCAGTTTCTGGGTGGCCTTGGAGCGGGGACGGTGGGGGGTCGGGGGGAGATTCCCAGCCAATGCACCAAGTGTAAAGCCAAATTCGGAAATCCTTACCCAAAAGACCACCAGAAACTGTCACCAATGTAAAAGCAAAGGAGTCTTTATTGCAAGCTCGAGCTTGGTCCTCCACACACCAGGTAACTGGTGACGTTGAGAGGCCCTGAGCCCAGGGTTATAGCACTTTTTATACACTTTTTAGGGAAGGCAGGGACTTTGCATACATCATAGCATCTTATAACAAATGACTATACATCTTGGGAAAATCATAAAACAATTCTATAGTATGATTGGCGCACTACAAAACAGGAATGGACCAGAAACAGGTTGTTGGTTAGATCAGAGGTCTGACGTACTTTAAACTGATTGGCTTGCACCACAGGGGAGTCTCAAGGAGATAGGCACTGAACTGCAGGGTTCCTTTCTCAAACAGACACCACCTGTGGTCTGACTACTAGGTCACCATGGCCTCCAACACCTGCCTGCCTGCGGTATTCCCAAGGATTTTTTATGTTCCTAGTTGGCGGGGAATTGCTTCTTCTGTTCATTCCCAGGTCGGGCTCCTGGTCAGCTGCATAACTCATACTTCAGAAGATGATCGCTAGCTCAAGATGGAGTCACCCAGGCCTCAGACTCCTCAGTCTCATTATCCGTCTCACCCCACAGATACAGGGAAGCCTTGGCCACGTGTGGTTATATCCTGTATCTGAATAAAAGCAAACAGAGACGGGCAAAGAAATCTAGTTGAGAAGTGCAGAGATAAAACTGAACTCCCAGTAGCAGTAGTCCAGGAAAACAACACATTGTTGAAGCTCCTGCTCTGGGGGACCTGTGGCTGGGAGCTGGTGCCACAGAGAGGGCCTGCGAGGGCTCTGCCCTGCCTGGCATGGACTCCCTACCTGCCCGGGCCCAGCTGCCCCAGCTCCTTAGCCCCAGGCCTTGCTTGTTTCTTCTGCTGACTTACTGTTTCTTATCTTAAAACTAACTATAGGTGGCAATTAGTTGTATTTGCAGAAGAACAAACAAAAATGCTTTATTCAGACAGCTTGAGGCAGTTTAGACTAGTCCTACAGCTCACTTTGAAGTAATTATAAAATAACAGAACTAGCAAACACATATACAACAAGAACAGTAAGGAGTGAGGAGGGATTGAGCTGGAGGCCCAGGCTAGCCTGGGAGTCCTGAGCAACCTGGACTGTGTGGATGGAAAGGGAGAAAGAGAGAGAGGAAGAGGGGGGGGGAAGAAAGGAAGAGAAGAAGGAAGGAAGGAAAGAAGGAAGGAAGGAAGGAAGGAAGAAGGAAGGAAGGAAAGGAAGAAAGGAAAGGAAAGAAGGAAAGGAAGAGAAAGAAGGAGAGAGAGAAAGAGGAGGAAGTTAGGGAAAGGGAAGGGAGAAAGGGAAGGAAAGAGGGAAGGAGAAAGGGCAGACAACTAGTGGAATAAATCTGTAGTGCTCTTAAGCTTGTTGGTTTGACTGTAATTTATTTCATGGGAGCTCAGTGGATTTGCTGCTGTTTGAAGCACTTTGCTTCTGAAATTTGTACATGAAGAAGGAAGCTTGTGTGCAGTTTTTCTCTGGTCAGCAGAGCAGTATGCCTGTTTTCTGTGCACACACAGTCCAGGTGTAAATTGGCTTATGTTTGTAAAACTTGGGGAGTCCTGTCATGTGAGCAAGTATACTCCCATCAGCATTTGCAAATCACCACAAAGAGGTTGGTTACTGTCAGATAGCTGGTCTGAAATTCATAAGACTATATGGCAGAAAGAGAAGATGGTTTCCCAAAGAAACTGAGGAGTTAGAAAATTATAACCAAGGGGCTGGGAAGGTGGCTCAGTGGTAGAGCGCTTGCCTTGCATGCCAGAGGCCCTGAGTTCGATTCCTCAGCACCACATAAGCAAAAAGAAAAAAGCCGGAAGTGGCACTGTAGCTCAAGTGGTAAAGCGCTAGCCTAGAGCTGAGGGACAGTGCCGAGGCCCAGAGTTCAGGCCCCACGACTGGACCACCCCTCAAAAAAAGAAAATTATAACCAAGATATAAATCTTGCCAGCCTGCTTTGTTATGGACAAATGAAAAACATTTAGAAAAACGCAGTTGCCATTAATTGTGATCTTAAAATAATCATAGTGTCAGATTAGAGAAGTCAGAATTGTGTCCCCCATGTTACACAGTGGGGCAGGATGGAAGGAAATCTTGTCTCAGAGCAGTCTTCAGCCCCAAACACTTTTATCACCTGCTTTACCCTTCTGTGAGAGAAGCAATTTTGAAATACAATGTTTTTACTCAGATTGAACTAAGTAGGCTTAGAAAACATCGTCTCCAGAACCTTCCTGATCTTCACCATCATTGAAAACAGGAAGCGGTGCAATGGTACAGTCTTGAGTTTGGGAGTTACTTACTAACCCTGTGAGGCTTGAGCAACTTGATTTATGTAAGCATCAGACATGGGAGCAGAAAACAGTAAGACTGGAGCTGATGCAGATTGAGTGCAGGGCTGAATACAATTACATGGAGAGTAGCTGGCAGGGGGAGCTCTTGATGCCAGTGATGGTGGTAGGGTTTGCTGGTGAACAGAACTGAGATGGCACCCTGAGGATGTCAGCTTCTCCAGGAATGGAGGGTGGATGTCACACAGGCATGTGATAGCACCCATCCCACAAGGACAGTCACAGTTTATTGCCAGCAGTTTATTGCCAGCAGAGGCTGGCAGTTTATTGCCAGCAGAGGCTGACAAGGCCACCTCCACCATGGGAGAGGGAGAAATGGCACCTGTCTGTTTCCCAGGGAGCATCTGGGTCCTGTCGGGTCTAGAAGTGGGGGGTACTCTGCATGTGCAGCTGGTCACTGGAAACAGCGCATATGCAGATGGGTGTAGGTCTGGGCAGAGAGCAGGAATGCTATGGATCCTGGAGAAACTGGCAGGGGCCCTAGAGAGAGTTCTCCTCTCTTTGTGAAGGGCAGGGTGGTCTCAGGTCTGGCAGCTGGGCCTCGAGATACATGCTGAGGACCTGGCAAGCCCCAAATGGAAGAGGACCTACTATCACTGTTGACTTGGTCAGAGAGTGCAGCAAGAAATGCTTGCCCCTTTCTTCTGCTCTTAAGGGAATCCTGAGCACTGCTTCCTCTTCACAGAATAATGGGACCACAGAACATCAAGTAGAGTCTTTCATAAGGAAAAAACTGGAGTCCCTGTTAAAGGAGTCTCAGATCCGAGACAAAGAAGACCCTGACAGCTTCACAGTGAGGGCGCTGCTGAAGGCCACACACGAGGGCCTGCATGCTCACCTGAGACAGGTACGCCGTCCACACACCAGGGCCTGCACGCTCACCTGAGGCAGGTACACTCTCCACCCACCAGGGCCTGCACGCTCACCTGAGGCAGGTACACTCTCCACCCACCAGGGCCTGCACGCTCACCTGAGACAGGTACACTCTCCACACACCAGGGCCTGCACGCTCACCTGAGGTAGGTACACTCTCCACCCACCAGGGCCTGCACGCTCACCTGAGGCAGGTACACTCTCCACCCACCAAGGCCTGCACGCTCACCTAAGACAGGTACGCCGTCCACACACCAGGGCCTGCACGCTCACCTGAGGCAGGTACACTCTCCACCCACCAGGGCCTGCACGCTCACCTGAGGCAGGTACACTCTCCACCCACCAGGGCCTGCACGCTCACCTGAGACAGGTACGCCATCCACCTACCAGGGCCTGCACGCTCACCTAAGACAGGTACGCTGCCCACACACCAGGGCCTGCACACTAGTGTCTCAGCCCACTGCAGGCTGGCAAAGAGCTTCCACTCAAGACACAGAGCAGGGCATGGAGCAGGGCACCACTGGGGACACCTTAGAGGTCACCATGCCCCTTATAGTCCTCCTTACCAAGGACGTCATTCAAAGCACAGACAGGTGTTGCTGTGGCTCACTTAAATAAGCTCGCGCACACACACACACACACACACACACACACACACACACACACACACACACACACACACACACACACACACACACACACTACCTCATAGATATCCCAGGATCTCATTTGTAAGTAGCACTGCTGCATGTGATTGTTTTCTTTATTCCACAGGCTGTTGACTAAGTCTGGTCATTGTCTAAAATTAAATCTCTTCTTAATCGAAAGTAATTTGTCCTCACTCAGGACACATTCTACACAGCCTGAGAGACAGGCAGTGAGGGCAGTGGAGCTGGGCACTTCTGTCCGGCTGGAGGCAGTAGGCAGAGTCTCGGTGCTGGCTGACATCCAAGCTCACCCTCTCTTGGGCAGACCCACACCCAGCAGTCAGAGGTGGAGACTGAGCAGAAGGGCACAGATGGGACTAATGAGAGAGAGGGTCTCGATCTTCTGATCTACCTGAGCCCCCAAAAAACAGAAGAAGAAAAATATTTCTGTATACCTTTATCTACTCAGAACCCCGATGGGAAGGAAAGTGGGAAGAAATCACAGGCACGGGCCCTCATGACCAACTTTGGAAAGCACAAGGTATGAATTCAAACTTGTGAGCACGTGGTATAAAAATAAAGAAATGTGTATACTTGTTTCATTTAATGGAAAGATTCTAAAGGGAGAGAAGAATTTCAGTGATGACCGTAGAATGATTAGAGGTTTATTTTAATTTTTAAAAAGAATTATCTTTAAGTGGCTATATAGAGAGATTTCATTTGGACAAGTCAGTTTCTGAGTACAATGCTTCTTTCTCAACATCACCCCATCCCTCGTTCCCCCCCATCTCCCAACCCACCCATCCCCTTGGATTTCCTAGTTCCATTTGCACATATACACATGGATGAAGATTTCTTAACCAGGACCCCAGGAATGTATCAGAAAGCACGATCCACACTGAGAGAGAATATTTTGAATATTCCCACCCTTGACATGCCCCAACCACAGTGTGTGAGAAGTTTTTCTAAAAGCTGAGTTTTATGTGCCTTAGAAATCAGTTTCTGAGCACAAAAGTCTAGATTTTGCATAAATATTTTAGTATAAGGTTGATGATTAATGTTTTAATATAAAGATCCCAATTAATATTTTAATATAAGTAAACAACACATTTGTTGTTTAATGCTGAAATTAGAGGCTATATTTGGTCTTTTTTCTCTCTCAGTTACTATTTGTCTCCTGTCTCTCTGTGTCTGTTTCTCTGCGTAGCTCTCTGTCTTCGTGTCTCTGTCTCCCCTCTGTCTCTGTGTCTCTGTCTTTGTCTGTGTTGGTTTCACCAAGCCAGTCTGTCTGTCTGTGTACATGATGTGTTTAAACCCAGTCCATTCTCCATAGGATGTAGGATTTCCCCCATGTTACATTTACTATGATTTTTGCTGCAGAAAGCCACAAAGTCTCGGTCAAAGTCGTACAGTACGGAGGAAGAGGAGGACTTGCAGCAGAACCCGGGCAGGGAGGGCGGCCAGATGTGCAGGTGAGTGAGCTGTGTGCTTCTGGCCCAGGGGGCAGAGACTCTGGCTCTGAAAGATGGACTTGCCCTGAGATCACAACAGTGGTGGGGGAGAGTCGGCACACCACCAGGCACTCAACAGACTTAGTCTCCCAAAGGAAGGTGTATTCCATGACGGATAGACGGACAGACCGACGGACAGCTATGGACACATACACATGTGTACACACACCTGTAAGAGTGTTGTGTGTGGAGTCACACTGACTGTGGGAGTGATGTACACTGATTTTTATACATGTGTGTGTTCCATTCTGACTTTTCTTGGCGAAGTGAACTATTGGAACTTTTTGTCCTGTGCTCTTTCATTGAATGTATTCCAGCACTATTAAGGTGGGAATTTTTTTTTTTCAAATTTTTTTATTGTGATTAAGTGGTTACATAATTTCCCAAATTTCACAGTATTGTGGGATAGTGAAGCTTAGCTAAAGTCACAAACACATTCTAACTTTCATAGGACAAATTGTCTATCATGGTCTATAACATTTATAAGTTCTATGAGCTTTGCGATACAGTTATTTCTTCCACATTGGGTGATCTGTACATTTCTCTTGTTTTGCATAGCATCAGCTGTTCCCTCTTTCCCACTTGTTCCCTCCCTCCCATCACTGCCATTAAGTTGCTTAGTTCATTTTGGTCAATGTCCAGTGCAGCTGATGGGTCCCGCTGTTGTATGCTTTTCCCTGATTCCCTCTAGTTCTGTGTCGTCCTCCTGGTTTCCCTCTGGTGTGTACATATATACCATACACGTGATCAGCAGCATGGGGTTATTTAGTAGTGATTTGACCAGATGAGCGGAAGTCCTTTGTTTCTTAAGTCCTGTTAATTTTGTCATATCACCTAACATATTGGATTTAACATCCACTTATCAAGGAGACCATGTGCCATTTGTCTCTTTGAACTTGGCTTATCTCACTCAACATGATTTCTTCTAGCTCCATCCATTTCCCTGCAAATGCCATTATTTTGCCCTTTCTAATGCCTGCATAATATTCCATTGTGTATAGATACCACAATTTTTGGATCCATTCATCTGTGGTGGGACATCTGGGTTGTTTCCATATCCTGGCTATTGTGAACAGTGCTGCAATAAACATGGAGGTGCACGTGTCCTTGTATATTGGTTCCTGTTGTTCAGGGTAGATGCCCAGAAGTGGTATGACTGAGTCATAAGGGAGGTCAATATTTAGCTTTCTGAGGATCCTCCAGACTGCTTTCCAAAGTGGTTGTATAAGTGTACATTCCCACCAGCAGTCTAATAGGGTTCCTCTTTCTCCGCATCCCCTTAAGGTGGGAGTTTTTGTTGCCGTACGTTCACTGTTTTCTCTCCAAAGAGTACTCAAATGTTTATTGGGTGAATAAATCTATTTCACCACTATCCAATTCCAGAATATTTTCCTTGGAAAGACCCGTAGCCCTAACCAGCCTCCCGCCATTCATCTGTTCCTCAGGTGCTGACGAGCCGTCATTAAGTCCTTTGTCTCCATTGGTTTGCTAAGATGCGGGGCTCTGAGGACTGGCTTCTGTGTGTTTAGTTTGCATCTTCAGCACTCATCCACGTTGTAACAGGCTCCATTCCTCCACCCACACTTATTTCTCAGCCTACTCCCTTGTGCCCGTCTCCAGCATTTTGTACTCGTCCATTACTTGAAAGACACCTTGCTGTTTTCTGCTGCCTGGCAGTTAGGAACACTGCCGTGCACATTCAGGTCTAAACATTTTTTAACATGTGCATGCAGGCTTTTATTTCTCTTGGGTGTATAAATGGAAGCAAAGTTCTGGGTAACAAAGTAACTCCATTTTACCAAGGGACTGCCAAGCCAGTTTTCAAATGTTGCTATCACTTCTATCCCGCAGTAAGATGTGGTTCCTTTCTCTGAACCCTTGTGGCATCTGCCTCCCGGTCTGGCTGCCCTTTGTAGGCATGACATGGTTCTGATTTGTACTTCCCCAGTGTCTGACAGTATCAAACATCTGCTTACGTGCTTATTGGCTGTCATGACGGGGCTCTCGGTCAGGGGTAGGACTTTCCACAGACATTGAGTGGGCTTCCCTGGGGCAGAGAGTCCTGTGGAATTTGTTGGCTATGCAGGGCAGATCCAGAATGTTCTGTGGGAGAGCAAGGATAGGAAAACACCTCAGGAGAAGCAGCACTAATTGAGCAAGGTGAAGAATACGCGTGTGTGTGTGTGGTGGTGGGGGCGGGGGGTGTTAGTATAAAACCTGACTTGCAATTGTATCTCTAAAAGAATCATGGTGGAAACTCCATTTCTTGGAAGGGATGTGCTCTGGCCACTCTCCCTTCAGTCCAGTTCTCCGCTGCTCCCCCTGCCCAGGTTTCAGTGGGAAGAAAACCCTCCCTCCTCATGGAGAGGAGGCTGTGGACCCAGCAGAGCCGAGGCTGCATCAGCCATCATGGGTGAAGGAGGAGGCACTGAGCTTGGGGTCCTGGCCTGGCTCCACTGAGGCCTGGCGCTGGCTGTGCGTCCATCTGTCATTCCCTCTGAGGCGGAAGGTGAGGAGCCCGGAGCCCCAGGTACCCCCCAGGCTAACAGCATGACTCTTGGTGTGCACTTCGCAGGCTGGGCCGCCGGAGGAAGACCATGAAGCTGTGTCGAGAGCTGTCTGACCTGGTCATCTACACGAATTCCGTGGCCGCCCAGGACATCGTGGATGACGGTAAGGCCTGGGCTCTCTCCTCTCCCTTTCCCCCCTCCTTCCCTCCCTCCCCTCTGCACCCCCCCCCACCCCCAATGTCTGGCTCATCAGGTTGTTTCTGGGGCTGTGTAGGATCCCATTGGAGAATGAGGGGAATGGAGGCGGATAGGATTCTGCACTCTGTGAAGGCACTGGTGCTCGCCTGGTTGCTCGAGGGCAGTTGCTTCCAGCAGGGCTGAGGACCGGGCTAATCAACACCTTAGGCAGCACTGGGCAAGCAGGAGGCCTGGCTCCATGGCTGAGTCTCCCATTGCCATTCCAAGTGTGACAGGCCAGAGGGAAATGAGTGTGTTGCGAACGCAAGGCCCTGCAGGGCTCCGTACTTTCAGGCTATGGCTTTGGTGAAAGTATTTGAGTTGGTAGATTGGAACTCTCACGGAAAGAACGGGTGTTTCAGTGTCTGACGGTGCTGACCAGCAGTGAGCTGCCACACTGTGCTGATAAGTTCTAGCAAGCCAGACCCCCCCCCCCCCAAGCTGGGCTCTTTTCGATTGTCCTCCCTTTCATCTAGCTCCTGGATGCTTTGAAATAACCACTGTCACATGCAGCAGCTTCAGTCTCATTTAATTTTAGTTCAAGTGACACAAAAATCAGGACCTCTGGTTTTCTCAGCACACATCATGGGGGCACGGAGATGGCTTTGTGAGGGCTTCCGTTCCTGTGAAATCTAGGCTGCTTTCCTGGGGCCTTCATCCTGTCTCACTCGCTATCTGCCTCTTCTGCAGATTTCCTGCCCTCTGCCCCCTCCTCCTTCCCCTACTCTCTCCCCCCCTCCTCCTCCTCATTCTCCTCTTACTCCTCCTTCCCCTCCTCCCTCTCCTCTTCCTCCCTCCCCCTTCCTCCTCTCCTTCCCCTCCTCTCTCCCCTCTTTCCCCTTCTCCTTTCCCTCCTTCCTCCTCCTTTCCCTCCTTTCTCCTCCCTCCCCTCCTTTTCCTCCCCTCCTCCCCCTCATTCCTCCCCTCCTCCTCTTCTCCCCCTCCTTCCTGTTGATTCCTTCTTCATTGGGAAAGATATTCTGCTTGAGTCATGGCCTAGATCAAAGTTTTCTCTCCTCATGCCGAGCAGATTGCTAGAATTTGTGGTGTGGGTGTATTCTGGGTAGAGCATAGGACATCCGGAATGCACAGGGACATTAGCAGATGCACGCTTCTGCCTGGGCAACAGATGGCCAATAACAAAAATAAAAACAAGGGAAGTCCTAAAATTGGAATTTGTGGCACTAGTTCTGTCAGGAAAGGCCTCTGTGGCAGTTGGCTGCATTGAATTTAGATTTTTTTCGCAGCTGCTTTTGTACATGTTAGTTTTGGGCTAAAGGCTTCTCTGCATAGCATGAAGTGTGGGTAAACTGAGTCAACCTACTGTCTGTCTGCACAAGGCGCTGGGTCTGTCTCAGCCTGTCCCAGACATGCACAGACAGTGCAGACTTGTGCTTTATCCCTGGGACCACGATGCTGCCTCCTTTTACCTTCCCTTTGTCCCTGGATGCTGTGAATGTAATCTGTGTGTGTGGGGTCACCCGATTCTGGGGGTGCTCCGGAGAGTTCGGTAGGTGTGAGGGCGGTGGGTTTGGGAGGATCTGTGTGCTCCGCTTGTGGCTTTCAGCCTGTCTCCCCGTCCACTCCAGGCTGTGATTCTCAGCCCCCTCTGCCCTCCCTCCGCGCCCCCCCCCCCGTCATACCTGCCAGGCACCACGGGCAACGTGCTATCCTTCAGCGAAACCAGGGCACACCAGGTCGTCCAGCAGAAGCCAGAGCAGTTCATGGTCTACAACCAGAAGCAGCTGACTAGGGTTTACCCCTCGGCCTACCGCATTGACTCCAGCAACTTCAACCCCCTGCCCTACTGGAACACGGGCTGCCAGCTCGGTGGGTGGGGTGGGGTGTGGTGGAGGAGAGGGGGGGGCTGCCAGCCTGTGGAGGGAGGGGCTCCGCCCGGTCCTCCGGCCTCTCCCCCCCACCCTGCCCAACTTTCTCCCACTCCTCGCCACAGTGGCCCTGAACTACCAGTCCGAAGGGCGAATGATGCAGCTCAACCGCGCCAAGTTCAAGGCCAACGGCAACTGTGGCTACGTGCTGAAGCCTCAGCAAATGTGCAAAGGTGGGCAGCCTTTGGGCTCACTCCCGGCACCCAGAGGCCCAGGGACACGGCGGTAACCACCATGGGGCAGGACACTAGCCCATGCACCGTGTGTGATCCTGACCAGGGTCAGAAGGGTGCTGCCACCTCAGGTGCTAGAAAAATTCCAAGTGGTTTCCATGGGCCACATTGGAATGTCCACGTACTCGTTGTCCACCATGGTTGTGGCACCAGAAGTTAGTCCTTCGGGGTTGGAGGTGTGGTCCAAGGGAGAATGCCCGCCTCGCACATGCGGGGTCCAGAGGTGACGCCCCAGTACTGCCACAAAGAAAAACTATTTCAACTACACTCTAGAACCCATGTGCCAGGTACTAGCACTCTGACATCCTGTCTCCATCTACAGGTTCTGAGAACCATAATTCCATTAGTCCATGATCTGTATGACTGAGAATATGTAGCATTTGGGTTTTTTGTTATGTGTGCCAGAATTATCCCACTTCCTGGAAAATCCTCCTTTTAAATCCATGGTGCTCCAAACACCACAATTTAATATTTTTCGTGGATGAATACTATTCCACTTTGGATGCACACCACATTTCCTTAGGGGAGGCGTAGGGTCCACAGAGGCCGTGTGGGAAATTCATCGGCAGAGGGTATAATGGTTGTTTCTTGTGTTGCTTGAAGTTTGTGCACTTTGTGTGTAGTGTGTGTGTACAGTGTCTGCATGTACAATGGATGTGTGTGTTCCACCAATCTCTGCTGTCTTGGCCTAGGTACTTTCAACCCTTTTTCTGGTGATCCACTTCCGGCCAACCCTAAAAAGCAGCTCATCCTGAAAGTGATCAGTGGACAGCAGCTTCCCAAACCTCCAGACTCCATGTTCGGGGACCGGGGCGAGGTGAGTACCCCAAGCCTCCGGACTCCATGTTCAGGGACCAGGGTGAGATGAGTGTCCCAAACCTCCTCCTCTTTATTTCTGTAGATCATCGATCCTTTTGTGGAAGTAGAGATCATTGGATTGCCAGTAGACTGCTGTAAAGACCAAACACGAGTGGTGGATGACAATGGTAAGATGATGCTCTGTGTTTGTGCTTGGTGCTTGTGCTTGATGCTCACGCGTGGTGCTCGACAATGGTAAGATGATGTTCAGTGCTCGTGCTTGGCGGGTGTACTGAGTGCTCATGCTCGGTGCTCAAGCACTGGCTTGGTGAGGAAGAGCCAGAAGGAGACTCTGAGGGAGGCCCAAGGAAGGAAATCACATCTGTTGAGATGAGCAGTGTCCTAGTGTCCAGCATGGTGGGCTCAGCCTTGGTGAAGGTTTTTCAGCCTCTGAGCCTGAGCTCTGGGATGGATGCTGGAATATGCTGGTGCACTCAAGATGGCCGATTCTCCACAATGGGAAGTGTGAACTGTATTTTCAAGATCTGGGCTGTAACACTCACTTGGGAAACACCCTGGAATATTTTTTATCATGTTCTTAGGACGTACATCTCCCAAAGCTCTCCTAGAGAAGCCACATGTCTGGTTCACATCTCATTCTCTTTTAAACTTTTTTTTTTGGTTGGTCGTGGGGCTTGAACTTCTGGGCTTGGGTACTGCCCCTCAGCTACTCAGCTCAAGGCGAGCACTCTACCACTTGAGCCACAGTGCCACTCTGGTCTTTTGGTGGTTTATTGGAGATAAGAGTGTCACAGACTTTCCTGCCCAGACTGGCATTGAACCATGATCCTCAGATCTCAGCCTCCTGAATAGCTAGGGTAACAGGCGTGTGAGCCACTGGTGCCTGGCTATTTTTTTTTTTTTTTTGAGCATGTCAAACTAAAGATAAGCACAGAATATTCTAGCAGGTTTGCTTCTTGAATATTTCTTATACTGGAACAAAACAAAAAAATGAATAAGCAATGAAGGTTTTAAAAATACATGTATTTTTTTTTCTTTTTTGTAAGGTTTAGGACTTGATCTCAGGTGTTCTACCACTTGAGCTACAGCTCCACTTCCAGCTTTTGGTAGTTAATTGGAAATTAGAGTTTCAGATTTTTTTTTTTGCCCAGGCTGGCTTTAAACTGCAATCCTCAGATCTCAGCCTCCAGAGTTTGTGGAGCATGGTTAAGGTTATATATTTTTGAAAGTCAGCAATAGGTATTTTTTTCTTAATTAGACAAAAAAAAAAAAAAACAACTAACATTGCTTATTTTTCTTTCTCACTGAGGACTGAGCTCAGGGCCTTGGGTTTGTCAGGGTGGTTCTCTACCATGGGACCACTCCCAGTCCTTATAGCTTGTTCTTCAGAGAGCATCACACACTCTGTCCAGGCTGGTCTGGAACCCCCAACCCTCTGCCTCTGCCTCCTGTTTACTGTAAGAATTAAGAGATGGTAAATGTACAGCCTTCCTAGTCCCGCACAGCACCTTGGCAGATGGTTGGTAGTTACTGGAGACGCAGCATCTTTGGCAGGTGGAAAGCCAGTCTTGGAGGTGGCCCTCTGGTTTGTTCTACTCCATTTCTTTTGCACTGGTGAGAACTGACCTCGGGGCTGTTAAACTCTTCTTACATCTTTGCTATAGACTTACTGACACATTCTGACGGCCGAGGTGCATCCTCCTGCCGGAACAGGTCGTCCACCGCTAATGACCATCTACAGAAACCCCTCACCCCATTTTCCAGCAGTGGGGTGAGCCCTGAGGTGTGTTCTCAGGATGGCGTCTGAGTAGCCGGGTCATCTCTGAGAGCTCAGTACCCACCACTGCAACTTTCCCTGTCCTCTTTGCACCCGGACACCACTGTTATGATTTTCCCTTTCCTGTTTCTCTAAGGATTTAACCCTGTGTGGGAAGAAACACTGACATTTACCGTCCACATGCCAGAAATCGCCCTGGTGCGGTTCCTCGTGTGGGATCACGACCCGATAGGACGAGACTTTGTGGGGCAGAGGACCGTGACCTTCACCAGCTTAGTGCCCGGTAGGCGAGAGCTGGTGGGTATGAACTGGTGGGTGTGAGCTGACAGGTGTGAGCTGGAGGGTGTGAGCTGGGGGGGTGAGAGCTGACAGGGGTGAGCTGTCGGGTGTGACATGGTGAGTGTGAGTTGGTGGGTGTGAACTGGCTGGTGAGAGCTGACAGGTGTGAGCTGGTGGGTGTGAGTTGGTAGGTGTGAACTGGCGGGTGAGAACTGATGGGGAGAGCTGACAGGTGTGAGCTGGTGGGTGTGAGCTGACGGGTGTGAGCTGGCAGGTGTGACATGGCGAGTGTGAGTTAGAGGGTGTGAGCTGGTGAGTGTGAGTTGGCAGGTGTGAACTGGCGGGTGAGAACTGCTGGGGAGAGCTGATGGGTGTGAGCTGGAGGGTGTGAGCTGGGGGGGTGAGAGCTGACAGGGGTGAGCTGCCGGGTGTGACATGGTGAGTGTGAGTTGGTGGGTGTGAACTGGCTGGTGAGAGCTGACAGGTGTGAGCTGGTGGGTGTGAGTTGGCAGGTGTGAACTGGCGGGTGAGAACTGATGGGGAGAGCTGACGGGTGTGAGCTGGCGGGTGTGAACTGGGGGGTGAGAGCTGACAGGGGTGAGCTGCTGGGTGTGACATGGTGAGTGTGAGTTGGTGGGTGTGAACTGGCTGGTGAGAGCTGACAGGTGTGAGCTGGTGGGTGTGAGTTGGCAGGTGTGAACTGGCGGGTGAGAACAGATGGGGAGAGCTGACGGGTGTGAGCTGGCGGGTGTGACATGGCGTGTTAGAGGGTGTGAGCTGGTGGGGGTGAACTAGGGGGTGAGAGCTTACAGGTGTGAACTGGCATGTGTGAGCTGACCCCTGTGCATGACCACGCTTTTGTTCTGGTTTTACATGGAGCTAGGGACAACCCAGGGCCTTACCGTGGTTGGCTGTTCCTCTACCTTTGTAAGATCTATGTGTGTCCTGTGTGCTGCACAGTTACATGCAGCACGATCTATGTGGTGGTGGTGTGCTCAGAGAACAGGAAAGCCAAGGTCCAGTCACACGCCCCACCGTCTGCCCCAAGCAAGGCCACACCAGAGCAGGTTCCAACGCCATCTTTGCTTCCCAGGCTACCGGCATGTCTACCTGGAAGGACTCACAGAAGCCTCCATTTTTGTCCACATCACAATCAACGACATCTACGGGAAGGTGAGAAGGACAGAGGGTGGAAGTCCACACGGCCCAGCACAGCCCTGGCCCACGTCGCTGCTGACTGGTGACAGCAGAGAAACGTGAAGTTTAGCAAACTGGTGTTCAATGGCAATGTGACGGTGGCTTGGCGGCCACGGCTCCACTCAGCAGGATCCTCTCCTCTCTTATCTTACCCAGGGGTCTTAAGAGAACCAGAAGATGATTGGCCTCCCAGGAAAACACCGATAGGACATAACCATGTTGATCGATGGGGTTAGACACTGAGTTTTACTGCAGTCCTGAAAAGGACTCACTTCTTTGCCGTGGGAAATGCAGGCTGGAGTTTTACCTACCCCAATGCTTTATACAAGCCAGTTCAGATGGGTGCATCCACTGCTGTTCACCACGTCACCTGTGGATTGTGAATGGGTTTAAAACCACCCACAGGACTTGAGAGAGAGGTGGGGGGGGGGAGAAGAGTAGAGGAGAGGGAGGGATCACAGGGCTCCCTTCATTGTTGGTCTGATGGAGGTCGATATGCCTGTAGACAGTTCTCCTGCTCTGAGTGATCAGGACTTGGTCTGGTTGCACATTTCAGAATGGATGGTGCAGGTCGGGCTGGGGCAGGAATGTCCAGGGCTCCCTCCTGGCCTCCAGAGCCATCCTGGTGATGTGCCCCTTGATGTGCGGTAAAAACAGAACCACCTCATAGATAAGTACACAAGTTTGTCTGCAAATGTTGCCTGGTATGTAGTAAACGCCCAAACAAGTTGGCCAATACTAATGTTGTTGTGACGGTAGCCACCAGAGGTTGAGTTGGGGAGTCTCTGTCTGTTCCTGCATTTCAGATGAAGGGAATTAAGGATCTTTGCTTCTTTCCCATGACTTTCTATGTCTAATCCCAGGTTTTTGTGTATGCTGCCTGTTGGATCTTTCTACTGGCCTAATGAGTCACACCTAGAGAGACTTAAAAGTGATCCTAGGAATCCCAAGTTGAATCTACACTATTCCTTGCACTCATCATGCCAGAGGGAAAATAATACATTTGAAAATTTATTTCTAGAATTCTAGAAATACTTGGAAATGTGATAGAGGAAGTGTCTTGTGGGGCTTGTGTGTGTAAGTAGACGTCCATCCTTCAGTCACCTGTGTCCTCACGGTGTGCTGGGTCGGTGCCCATGGCCCAGTGCTGAGTGGACGCCGGGTGGGTTTGGAACTGGAGGGCAGGCCAACGCAGGGCAGGCAGTGTTTTCTGTGTGTCCTATCACTTCCCTTATCCAATGGGTACAAATGGCCCTGTGTCCTCTTCTCTCCTCTGCAGTGGAGTCCATTAATCCTCAACCCCAGTTACACCATCTTGCACTTCCTAGGGGCTTCAAAGGTAGCTGCCTGGCGCAGCGCTCTGTTCTTGTGGCCTGGTCATTGTCGGTGTTCATGGCGGCATGCTCGCTCATCTGCTCCAAACACATCTGTGGCTTCAGGGGCGCTGATGTTTGTGACAGCCCATCTCCCATTCCCACGCCTTGTCTGTGGGGAGGGGCCGTGGGGAAAGGCTGGTCCTGAACGTGGAAGGTCGGTGCTAAGAGGTGCATGCTGCTGTGCAGAGATATGGAGCACGGCCTCCTCCGGGTCTGGCTGCCCCTGGATGGCTGCGTGCTCTCATTGTGCGCTCACATCCCGTGCAGCCATCATCACATGGGGGCTGGAACTGCATGGTGTCAACGGTTGTTGGTCTTTTTGTGTCTTCAGAACAGGCAGCTCCAAGGCCTGAAGGGGTTGTTCACCAAGAGCCCCAGGCCCAGCGCTTCAGAAAACAGTTCCCACTACGTTCGGAAACGGTCCATCGGAGACAGAATTCTGCGCCGGACAGCCAGCGCCCCAGCCAAAGGCAGGAAAAAGAGCAAAATGGGCTTCCAAGAAATGGTAGAGATCAAGGATTCCGTGTCTGAAGCCACAAGGGATCAGGACGGAGTCCTGCGAAGAACCACTCGGAGTCTGCAAGTGCGCCCAGTCTCCATGCCCGTGGACCGGGGTCTCCTGGGGGCCTTGGCACTCCCACTCCCCATGTCCGTGGCCCCTACTGCCACGGGGGCAAAGGAGAGCTCTCCGGGTAAGAGGCATGAGGTTTCACGAAGCTGCCTTCACCCCTGTGGAGGATGGTAAAAGATACTGGAAACAGAAGGAGCTGTTTATTATTTATTTATTTATTGTTGTTCCTGGGGCTTGAACTCAGAGCCTGGGCGCTGTCCCCGAGCTTCTTTTGCTCAAGGCTAGCACTCTACCACTTGAGCCACAGCACCACTTCTGGCTTTCTCTGAGTAGTTTATTGGAGATAAGAGTCCCAAGGACTTTTCTGACCTGGCTGGCTTCAAACCGTGATCCTCAGATCTCAGCCTCCTAGGTAGCGAGGATGACAGGTATGAACCTCTGGCTCCTGGCAAAGGAGCAGCTTCAATGCTACCTGCTTGCCCAGGACGATTTCAGACTTCAGAGGGGAGAGTGCAAACGGATCTACTTGCTTCAGACACAGAGTCTTTCTGTCTGATATTGGGGGTGAGGTCAGAGAGCATGGAGCAACACCATGGTGTGTGCCTGTCGCCAGGCTGCATAGAGAGGGGAGAAAATTGCCAAGTAGGAGGAGACATGCTAGTTTTCTAGCTGGCTTTCTGCGGTTGAATCAAATGTGTTGACTTTTCTGAGGCTGAGTATTGTAACACTTTTCTCCACACATTTCCATGGGGATAGAAAACCAAATGTGGAGAGCAAACTGTCACTTGTAAACTCTCTGCTTTCTTGACACATGGCAGATACCATGTCTTCCTGTGACCTGGGCCCCCTGGTCTGTGGCTCCTGCCTGGTCCAAGGCCCCAAGCATGGTAGTCAGGTACTGCTCACACTTCCTTCACCTCAGTGCCTTGCTGACTCTTATCAGGAATGCCTAAAGAAGAACAAAGAGGAATGACCATTTTGCAAGGAAACATAGCTCTCAACTTTTATCTACGACCCTCCCCCCCATTCTGTCATAGTCTTTTAAGTTCCGAAATTCTGCCCATATCACCTCTCTGGAACAAATGTTTTTTTTTTTTTGGGTCCAGTCATGAGGCCTGAACTCTGGGCCTGGGTGCTGTCCCTCAGCTCTTCAGCTCAAGGCTAGCACTCTACCACTTGAGTCACACCGCCACTTCCGGCTTTTTTCTTTTTGCTTATGTGGTGCTGAGGAATGGAACCCAGGGCCTCAGGCATGCAAGGCAAGCGCTCTACCACTGAGCCACCTTCCCAGCCCTGGAACAAATATGTTTTAACTGAATCTGAATTATGTCAGAGAAGTTGAATGTGGTAAGCAATCCCCTTATCAAAATTATTCTCTATGCATCAATCTCATTTCTAAAATCTAGTTTCCTACAAAAGCCATTTCGATCTTTGTTAAGATGGTCCGGGTAGAAACAGCAATTCCTAGCTGGGTAAAGGAGAAAGGGGAGTTTAAAAGTCTGAAATTTCACTAACCACACTATCATAGAAGACAGGAAATATACTTCAAAGTTTACTTTATAACCCCATAATTTGGAAGATAAAGCTATGTTTTATAAAAATTGATGATAATTAACCCTGTTAATGATGCGGCTAAGATGAGGTTAATGCCGTTAGGATGAATTAGAAAGCCATCTCAAAGACCTATTTTCATTATTCTTACCTCTGAAAACAGTTCTGTGAATCTATCAGCTGTGTTTACCTGTTAGCCAGGTGCCAGTAATCACCTAGCTACTCAAGAGGCTGAGATCTGAGGATTTCGATTTGAAGCCAGCCCAGGCAGGAAAGTCCATGAGATTCTTACCTGCAATTAACCACTGAAAAGCAGGAAGTAGAGCTGTGGCCTTAGTGGTAGAGCACTAGTCTTGTGCAAAAGAAGCTCAAGAACAGTGCCCCTCCCCACCCCAAAGATGAGTTACTTTGGGCAAGTATGGAACAATTCACAATCACGCAATACTTCGTGTTGAGAAGACATACGGAGAAAAAGTAGAACATAAAATTCTAAACTTTATTCCATACTTCTGTCAAAGTGACTGTCTCTGGTTGGTGACATAAAGGATATTGAATTGTTTTTTTCTTTATGTTTTGCTCTTAAGCTTTAAAAATTACTATGCAGGATTTTTTTCTCACTTTATGTTTTGCTCTTAAGCTTTAAAAATTATTATGCAGGATTTTTTTCTCGGTTAAATGCTTAGTGAGACAAATCTTTTTCTTATACGACTCTGAAAGCATTAGAAGATTATTCAACTAATTATCAAGAATAATTCAAGAATAATTGAACATTTAATGTTATATTAGTACATTTTAGTCAGCCATGAACCTGAGTTACTGGAAGTTGTGTGTTTTTATACTTTCCCTTACTGGTCTGACGGCATACTTCCAATTCAGGGGGGCAATTCAACATAGAACTTGTTTACTAAAAACAAAAACAGCATTGAACACATTATTAGTAGCATGGACTTAAAATCGGTAGCTAATTCTTTACATCTTTAAGTCAGTAGATACTGATTTTGTGATTCACCCTCTAGTTGTTTTAGTTGGTTAAATTTAATCTCTTGCCAAAATGTCTTTTTAAGTGATATCATTTGCGATTTTTCTTTTTGCTAATAGATGTCTAACTGTAAAGCTTACAGTCTCTTGCTTCCAGGAACTGCAATGCTGTGTTTAACAGAGCTGTCTTGTTCTGTTTTTTATTACCACGCTTCTGTGTAGTACAAATCTGAATAGGACGCCACCGCAGGTAATCCTCACTGTGAAACTATGGTGACTCATTGGCATTTTCTTTTGGACAATGAATATTAATTACATCCTTAGCCGATGTAATGCCATTCACAGGGAGCTCCGGTGACGTCCCCATAAACATACTGTACTATTTACTCATCACACATGCACTCTTCTTTGCAAACCTGTGCGACCCATAATTCTCTTCTGCACGGTGTAACAGCTTCACATTCTCCATTTGTCCGTCTCAAGACAAACGTGAGTGTTTGCAGGTAAGGTGATATGCCACGCCTAAAGTGTTGTTTGTTTCATTCAGCAGAAGGTAAAGATGGCAGAAGAACAGGACAGGCCAGTAGAAAAGGCCCACCTTTTCCAGATTTCAACCAAGAGCTGTCTTCACCCTCCTCTTCTGCCCTCCTCCATAAAGACGCCAGCCCGGGGGCCACCCATGTCCTCTCCACCATGGTCCCCACCCAGCCACAAGCCACCAGTGACAACGGCCAGGAGGGCCCCGGCCCTAGCCCGTCTCCGGGGCTCCAGTCCACCCTCCTCCCCCACTCTTACCCAACACAAAACCTGCGAGATAAGCAAGCCAAAGAAGGGGGAAAAGCGGAGGGCGGGCACAGCACCCTCTCCACAGGCGGCCTGTGGGGCGGCCGGGCCGGGGCGCGAGCATCCTTGTCTCTGTCAGACATGTCCGCGCTCTGCTCTGCCGCTCCTGACCTGCACTCCACAGCCATCCTGCAGGACACAGACGTCTCCCTCCTCCTGGACAACGCCACCTTCACGGGCGACACGGAGCCAGGCAGCTCCATCTCAGCACTGATCGCACGCTTTGAGGAGCCTCACGTCCAGGCTGGCTATCCTCCCCTGGCCTCCCAGCGTGGAGGCTCTGGGGACGAGGCTGTCCCGTCCTTCCTGTCGTCCCTGGAGCTCAGCCCACTCCTCAATCCTGAGAGCTTCGCCACCCCCACTGGGACCACCCGCCCTCCCCACTCCAAATCCACGCCCGAGGAGGCCCCTTGTGCTACAAGCCTACGGGAGTCCCCTGATGCTCCTCGTGGTAGGTTCCCCCAAACTCCCACCCGTGGGAAGCACTGGGAGCTGCTAAGCAGCATTAGCCCTGCCCCGTCCACCGAACTGACCCTGAGCTATGACATCATGGCGGGCCCCGTGCGCTGCTTGGATTCTGGAGAGAGCAGCCTGGTAGAAATGGACGGCGCGTCAGGAGATCTGTCTCTGACCACCTGCCACGAAGGAGGCTTGGGTGCCACTCCACTCGCCTGTCCAGTCAGGCTGGAATACGGCCAGAATGTGCTGGAACCCTGCCCGAGAGACTGGAGGAATGGCTGTTGTGCGGAGACGCTCCGGTCTCACCACTGGGAAATTCTCCCCAACGGTGAGAGGCCTCCACACCCGGCCTCCCAGGGTGCTGGTGCTGAGCACCACGTCCCGGCCTCACAGAGAGGAGGGCGCCAGGCCAGTGAGCCCCAGCAGGCCACTGTCCAGGGTGTGCAGGCCGCCGGGCCGGCCCCAAGGCCACCTGCTGCCCTGTCCAGTCCCTGCAAATCCAAAAGCCTGGGGGACTTGACCTCGGAGGACATCGCCTGCAACTTCGAGAGCAAGTACCAGTGCATCAGCCGCAGCTTCGTGCCCACGGGTGGGGCGGGCAGGCCGGGGGCGGCCGCAAGGACGTCCGGCCTGGGGCCTCTGGACGCCCTGACCCAGCAGCTGCGGCAGCTGGTGAACTTAGAGCAGGAGGATGGCTGTCAGGTGCGGGACTCCAGGCAGGAGGCCGGCCAGCTGCCGCGGGCGCTGGTGCGGAAGCTGTCCTCCAGGAGTCAGAGCCGAGTTCGGAACATCGCCAGCCGTGCCAGGGAGAAGCAGGAAGCCAGCAGGCCGAAGGGGGGTGACGCTGGCCCGGGGGGCGGCGTGGTTCTCAGGAAGAGGCCGCCGGCGCCTGGGCTGGCTGTGAACCGCCACTCCACAGGCTCCTACATCGCGGGGTACCTGAGGCCCTCAAAGGGGGGTGCCCTGGAGGGCCGGGGCATCCCCGAGGGGGCCTGCGCGGTGCTGCGCGGCCGCTGTGCCGACCAGTGCCGTTCAGAGGGCCCAGTTCTGCAGACTGAGCCGGGCCTGGACGAGAAACCGGAGATTTATTTTCTTCTGAGGCTGTGATGCGTATGAAGCGGAAGCTTCAGCGATGTTTACAAGGTCCTGTGTGGAATGTCCTGTTTTTTGTTTTGTCCACAAAGAGGAGCCCGGCTTTGAAATGCTTAGCAAATATGATTTTAAAGCTGGGGTGTCACTCTCCCTTTGACCTCCCGTGTCCCCCGTGTGTGGATTTGTGACACTGCCTCTGTACCCCCAACCCCTCCCCCTGAGGTGCTGTGTGACCTGGATTAAATGCATGCCCTGGGTGTGAAACTGCCCGGCCGCCTGGCTACAGGCATCAGTGTCTGTCCCTGCCCTCACATCCCAGTCACAGGTAGCATCATTTCTTCCATAAATGTTGAGTCCATCAAGCGACTTCACGAAGGACTAAAGGACAAATCCTTCATTTGAAGCTGTGGTCAGTTTTTCCTTCTAAATTGAGAAACCCAGATGCAGAGTGTGTGTGTGTGTGTGTGTGTGTGTGTGTGTGTGTGTGTGTGTGTGTGTGTGTGTGTATGGTTAATTAGGGATAAAAGTCTCAAGAATTCCCTGCTCGGGCCGGCTTCACACCACGATCCTCAGATCTCAGCCTCCTGAGTAGCTAGGATTACAGGTGTGAGCCACTGGTGCCCGGCCTAGGTGCATTTTTGTAATTCAGTTAAAAGATATTTAAAAAAGTAACTCTACCTAAAGATTTCCCCTGCTCCACCCAGAATGGGCTGTGAGGAAGAAGGCGATCTTCTCTATTTAAGGACAAACTGATTGTTTTACATGGATTTTGTTACATATTTTTGCTAATGGCTTTGTATGTAACAAGGGCTGAGTTACCAGGCTATTTGCTGTCATACTTATTAATTTTCTGACGATAACTTACAGAGTTCAAAGGAAGATTTTCAGTGTAACAGACTGCTATCAGAATAGACAGTATAGCACCACAAGTCATTAACTTCTCCCAAAGGGGAAAAAAAAATATTTTCTCACAATCAGAGCTGAGTGGCTAATTAGAAGAAAGCTCCCCCTTTCAGGCAGGGAACTATATTTTGGTACCGACATACATCTGTCTCGCTGTGAATCCACTTTTCAATCGCATGTTCAGATGTCCCGCTTGCTTTTTGTAACAGTAAATGTAATGATGTTCTTCCTGGAATTCACAGAAATAGAATTAAAGCAGATTTTTGGACACCTGGTGACTGTTTCTTTCATTGTCATTATAAAGATGATGTACGGGGGGTGGGGGCCATGATTGCAGTTTGTGTGGTGATAGTAGTTGGAGGGATTGAATATATTATCCATTTCCTAAGAAGAATGGGAAATGTCCTCTACAGAAGGTAGTTTCAGGCATGTCTGAGTGTTTCCATTATGTCTTAATGGTATGTTGGGAAGGTAACTTGAGAAGACGGCATGTGGAAGCTAGCCACAGTGGCACACACCTGTAATCCCAGTGCCTGGTTAGCTGAGTCAGGACAGATCTTGAGTTGAGGCCAGTTTGGGTGACCTAATGAGACTCTGTGTTGAAAACAAAGCAAATGAACAAAAACATCCTATGGAATGAGTTTCTTTCCATTTGGTATTGATAATGCAAGATTAAAAAAAAAACAAAAAAACCTTTGCCTGTCAGGCAGGGTGAAGCACGCCTGCCTGTAACCAGTTCCTTGAGAGACTGTCACGTTTGAAGCTAGCCCGGGCAAGGTTCACAAGACCCCATCTCAACAAACAAAATACAAAAAAACCCAAAGTGGCTGAGGGCATGGCTTGCTTAGCAAGCTCAACATCCTGGACTGTGTCCCTACTGTGCAAATCAGTCGATTGATCAATCAATCATCCATCAAAATAATCAGCAACGGGCCTGATGGGCAGTGGGTGGTGGTGGTGGTGGTGGATTGTCACTGCTTCCCAGGATCCCTGAGTAGGAATGGTCTTTGTGCACGGGCCCTTGAAGGCTGGGAGGGGCAGGAATGTCTCAATCATGGACACAGGGACTGGTCTTTGCCCTTAGTGACCTTTGCCTTCTTGGGCTCTGAGCCGCTAGTGTTCAGGACAAGGCTACTTTAAAAACTAACCAAGGCCCAGTACCCTTGTGTTGGGCAGGATTGACATAATGTAAAGACGACATTAAACAGCAAATGAGTAGCCGTTAGCTATTTTTTGTGACCTGATAGAATCTCTGTTTTCAAAAAAGCAAGAGGGAAGAAAAAGAAGAGTGTCCTGGTGGTAAAAGCCGTGCAGCCCGGTCGTCGATGGCCGAGGAGGAGGCTGATGATGGAACCGCTGCCCTAGTGTCCACACACACCTGTTCCCCGCCCCCCCACTGACACACACACACACACACACACACACACACACACACACACACACACATTGTGGAGGAAAGCAAGGGAAAGCAATTTCACGACAATCATTCGGGATTTCCTAATAAGCAGGAGGAGGCAATAAAGCCTCCATTTTAATATCCAAGCTTAAAATTTAATATAGAAACTTAAATCGTAATAAAAATGCTTGATGCTCAGCTCAGACCCCGTGGGATTTCTTTGGTTTGTTCAGAGGATGGATGGGAGGCTGCCTGAACCCATGGAATTCACACCACAGGGGGGATTTGCACCACAAAGGGATTCACACCACGGGAAGGGGGGTAGGTTTATAGGGGGGGATTCCCACCACAGGGATTCGCACCATGGGTGGGCAGGTGGGGGATCTCTGAACGAGCTTTCTGATAAGGAGATTTCTTGTTGAGAGCTACACTTCCCGGAGCTGCTGGTGTCTGCGGATCTGAGGAGTCTCGGTTTCCTCTGCGGACTCCTCTCTGAGGCGGGGTGTTGAGGGAGAGCCAGTGGCCGTGCTGGAGGTGTGTCTTCAGAGGACAGAAGCCTGGGGTGATGCGAAGATGCCACTGTGCACTTGTTTGGGCTGAGACACCCCGAGGTGCTCAGTGCAGCCCCTCTGGGCGCGTCTCCCTGGACAGAGTGCGAGGCGAGGGCTGTGCCCTAATCAATAGATTGATCATGTGGTGGATTCATAATATGGGGGCATGATTGGGGGGTTGGTGACAAAAAGGTGGGGGGACTCTGGAGGAGCAGCCCACAAGAAATGTCCTGGGGCCTCTACCTTGTCCCCGCCCCTTCCTGTACCTCTCCTCTGCTTCCTGTTCTCAGCACTGCCCAGCCCCGTTGCCCTCAGCATTGCCCAAGCTGCAGCAGCTGCAGCGTGCTTGACACGGTCTCCTGTCTCCAGTAGGTGCACACCTTGCTGTGCTTTGGCTCTAGAATGTTCCCTGTGTGTTGAAGGCTTGGATACCTTTAGGAGGTGGTAGGAATGTCCAGGAGGCGGAGCCTGTCAGGTCATGTGGGGTGCCTTTGAGGGGACTGTGGGACCCCCGCCCTTCACTGATTACCAACAAAGTGGACGGGCCTCAGTGGCCACACACGCCTGACGTGGTGCGCCTGCCCTGTGGCCCCGGCTGGCCTCACATGCAGGATCTCCTGGTTTGGGTCTCCACATTGCTGGGATTACAGGCATGCACCAACGTTCTTGGCCCTCCTCTGGTTCATTACCTGTCTGGTGTCTGTAGATGTTCTAATAAACCCTTTGCTAAAGTAATTTGCAAAACTGGCTTCAGAACAAACACTTCTTGCTCCTTTTCCTGTGTAATCAACCTGAGCGGGTCCTGAGGGCCGGCCACCACACTGGCTGAGCACAGAATTTATGCAGTGAGGACCTTTCTCGCCTCTCGACCTCCACTGAGCCTCTCCCCACTGCTCATCGGCAAGGTGCTGGTTCATAAAGACCATTGTGTGCCAGGGGCAGGCTGAGTCTGTGACAGACATCCCTTCCTGTGTCTCCAGGAGCCGTGGCCTGCCAGGCAGGGGTCAGTAGGGAACAGGCCCAGTGACAGTGCCCGGGCCCCATGTCTGGAGTCTGCTCTTCTCCACATGCCCCCATGCTGCCTGCTGCACATTCCCATCTCCTGCAAAAGGGAGGCCCCCCCCAACCACGTTCACCTTGAGGATAGCACGGGTTCACAGGGATGGACAAGCTGGGAGGCAATGTTCACGCAGTCCCGGCTCACACTGTGGCTTTGCGCTGTTTGGCTCGAGATGACATCTCCTCTCCATTTAGATACTAGGCTGGACTGCTATACGCACAAGACAGTCTTCCTCTCCTGCCCTGAACTCCTGGCCTCTCAGGGGTGTCTCCAGTCTCCCCCTCTCCTCCTATGCCTGAGGCTACATGGGGGTGTGCCTACTTCCTTCCCTTTGGAATATAATTTCAATTTTTTTTCTACATGCTTTTGTGCCTTCTGCACAATTCCATGTGTGCAGCTTTTCTTCCCGTGGAGACAGAAATTCCTATTTATGCTTTACAGGCAGATGCATGGTTATTAGAAGAAACAGTGTCCCCATCGGTCTATAAGAGAAACGCACATTCAATGGTTTTGATCAGAAGTTGATGAGGGAAAGAAATCACTCATTTGTGGAAATCCTTCACTTCTTCCCATTCCCATTTGTCTTAAAATTGCTAACTTCTTTTTCAATCAGTCCTTTATTTTGGGTCCCTTTAATATTTCTGTGTTGAGGAGGTAGTGATTTTATGGTGTAACTTGTGCTTCTCGATTTTTTTTTTACATATAGTTTATAATTCTCATTTTATTTTTATGGCGGGCCTGCAGCTTGCCCTGATGCACTACAGATTCTGACTGAATCAACATCCTGAAGACTTTCACACTGATTTCCACTGTGTCTTCCACTTCTAGTTGGCATTTCAGTACAAGCTTGCTCTCTGTGACTTTACTTCTTTGAAGCAAGTTCCTGCTCTAACCCATGTTGCCAAGGCTGGCTTCAGCCTCTGGGGAAGCTGCCTGGCCTTTGCAGTTTGCTTTAAATAATGATTTGAACAACTTTAAAAAAAAACAAACTTTATGTTTTGAAGTAAATTAAGGCTTGCAAAAATAGTTTCAAATTTAGTATTAATGATTCCCTAATCCATCCTTCCTGAATATCAGTCTTATACAACTGAAGCCAGTGATGGGAAACAGAACTCGGACC